TTTTTCTCCAAAACACTCCTTCTTGATTGGTAAAAAGCCCTGAAAAATTTGACCTCCTCAGTGCCTTAGTCAATTTGGGCTACTATAACAACATACCATAGACTGGGTGACTTAAATAACAAGAATTTCTTCTCACAATCCTGGAAGCTGAGAAGACGAAAATCAAGGTGCTGACAAATTGAAGTCACTGTCTGGTGAGGTCCCTCCTACTGATTTGCCAATGACAGTCTTCTTGTTATATCCTCTCATGAAAGAGTGTGGGAAAACTCTTCTTTCACTTTTAAAAAGGATATATATGACACAATTTTCCTATGTACATATATGAATACAACAGAGTGAATCCCTCCATTGTGTACATCCACATAGATTGGAAGACTCACTACTCATTCTTCCAAAATTGTCTGATATACATAAAGAAGAAGGCTGCTAGCTGAGCTGGGGTGTAGCTCAGTGGCTTGCATGAAGCATTGAGTTCAATCCCCCACACAGGTGGGTGTGGGGCTGCTCTGAGCATTTGTAGGCAAGTCTTTTTGAAGATATATTTTCATATATTTTGAAGCAGAATCCCTGGGTTCTTTGTCAGATACACAGATTGCATTTATTTCCTCCTAAACTGTGACTTGTCTTCATTTTTCTAAACATATCTCTTAAAGAAGGGAAATTTTAAATTTCCATGAAATGCAATAGATTTGATTTTTAAAATTTTAAACAAAAATAAAAAGGATACAAATATCACCATGGAAGCTACACCCTCATGACTTTATCTAAGCCTAATTACTTCCCCCAAAAGCCTCAATTCCTAATACCATTCCATTGGTATTCAAAATAGGAATGGTATTCAAAATAGGAATCTTGGGGATCACAAACACAAAATCAGCCCTAAAGAATTCTGCTATTTACCTCCTAAATTTTACAAGACCACCATTATCTGCCTATGACCCCTTTTTTGATAAAATTGCCTGTGAATACCTGTAATTAGGAAACCAAGACAGAAAATTTTATTTCTCTTCTACAGAGTTCACAGATCTGAGCTACCTGTTGTATCTTATTAGTTAACTGTAGGTATATTTTATGTATAGTTGGAGAGTAAATTCATGCCCCCTGTATTCATAATGGCCAAGAGTGAAAAAATAGTAATTACTGTGTGTGTATGTGTGTGTGTGTATGTGTGTGTATGTGTGTATGTGTGTGTGTGAGTGTGTGTGTGTGTTAAGATCAACAATAGGTGATATTTCAGACATAAATGGAAAATTGATCTAAATATTAAATACTGTATTTTCTCTGATTAAGAAACATAAGCTCTGAAGTTACTCTTGGATAATGCATTCTGAGCTACATTATCACTAAAAGGCAAAAGGCAAAAAAGTAAATTCTGATGTGATTAGTTTTGCTTGTTGATTTCTAAATGAGAAAATAAAAAAACCTCCAAATGCTGCTTTATTTTTTCCTTTTTTAGCAGAACCACTTCCTCAATCCCACATAAATATTTAGGTACAATCTTTTCTAGCCACAATGATAAGAGCATTAGACTATCAAATGAACTTCTTTCTGTGCCAATAGTACTCCTATAAATATGGTGATCGTTCTTAAACTTGCCAGACTTTCTGTAAGAAGTGTGGCAAGCACCAACCCCACAAAGTAACACAGTGCAAGAAAGGTAAGTGTTCACTGTCTGCACGGATAAAGTGGTATTATGACAGGAAGCACAGTGGCTGGCCATGGTGGGCAGACTAAGCCAGTTTGGCTACAACTACAAAGATGATTCCACTGGGGTTTGAGTGTGTTGAAAATCCAAGAGAATACCGGCTATTTAGAGATACAAGCATTTTGAATTAAGAGGAGATAAGAGAAAGGGCCAAGTGGTCCAGTTTTAAACTTCCTTTTGAATTATTACAAAAAAAATAAAGTACTGAGTTATATTCACTTAAATATACATATATTTTATTGAGTAATAATTAGGCATATATATGACAAAATGATTTATTATTATCATTATAATATATAATGATAATAATAAATCATTTTGTTACCATATTATCTCATTGGTATGGGATATATATGTATGTGTGTATGTGTATGTGTATATGTATGTATGTATTAAAGTAGACATATAGATCTTCAAAATGTATATTGAGCACTTCAAAACTGTCAAGTGGTTTGAAATAATTTTGTGATTTTTCTTTCCCTTGATTGTTTTTTACTACATTGGCTATTCAGTCCAGTGCACATGGTGATCATCAGATTTGTTTATAACTAAAGCTTAGATTCTGTAAATCAGAGCATGATGATCATAATTATGAAAAGTAATCATTTAAAATCTGAGGGCTTCTCAAAAACTAACTCTATAGAATTGAGTACAGTGGTCTTTTTGTCAGTGTACTTTATTACATTAAAACAGGACGTGTATTTATCAGCTTCCTGTTACTATAAGAAAATATGTGAAATAATATATTTGAAAGAAAGAAAAGTTTATTTGGGCTCACAATTTTACATATTCCAATTCATGACTGGTTGGCCCTATCACTTTTGAACCTGTGGTAAGCCTACAGTACATCATGGCAGGAACCACATGGGGGAACAAGATTCTCAACTCATGGCAGCCAGAAATCAAGGAGAAAGAAGAGGGATGGGGTCCTCCTCAAAGCCTGTCCTCCCAGTGATCTAATTACCTTACACTCGGCCCCACCTCTTAAAGGTCTACAATCTTCCAATAGCATTACAGGTTGGGGACACAGCTTTTAATATAAAAGTGGACTCTTCTTCAGATCATAGCAGGGGATATTTGTTTTCTAATTCCTAGAAATTTCTTTATACAAATAAATATCTATTAACATAATTTATGTAAATGCGTATATGAATACCTCAGAAATCTTGAATACTTACTAGCAAAACTTGGGTCATTAAAGAGAACAACAATGGAGAGTTTTTTATTAGAGATGGAGCTTTATGAGAATTATTTTGCGGCTACTCACACATCTACTTGTGTCACATTCAAGCCAGCAGGTGGCAAGCTTGAGATTTTTGTTGTTGTTTTTATGTTGTTGCTTTTATTGAAGAGGTAGAAATATTGAACCAAGTTTCAATGGATCTCATGAGTAACACTTTTGATACACCATGACATAAGAAAACTAAATTTTCAAATTGTGGAGGCACTAGAGTTTGAATAGCAATGTAGTTTGTGTAGTTTTTCTCTATTAAAGGTTAAATCCTATAATTTTTTTCTAACAAATAATTTTTAGGGATAATGATAATAATAAATCATTTTGTCAGTTTTAACCCATTTTTTGTTCTTAGTTTCTGCAATTATGAAGTTTTAGATGCATTCGTGTTTCTTTTGGGAGAATATTTAACACCAATTTACCAGGTATGCAAAATACATTCTGTGCCAGAAAAAGTAATGTAAGAATCTATTGAAAATTCTTACATTGACAGACATAATTTTAAACACATAATAATATGTAATTTCATTTGTGGATAGTGATTGTTTTAACTTTAGTCCTGAGAATATTTCTCGTATATTGTGACTTATTGGTAGTTACTTAAAAGTAAAGAGAAGTTTAATTTGTTCTATGTAAATTTTCATTTTCAAAGTTCTGGACTGTACCAGTGTCCCAGAATCAATCAAGATTGGTTATATTTGGATATCTGATTTGGTTTTAAAGTATTTAAGTAAGCTTATTTCTTGCCATCACATTTGTCAGTGATAGAAATTCAGCCATAAGACAATATTTGTTCATTTCTCTTTGAATTTCATTTATTGTTTATGCCAACGCTATGTTCTCTACAAATATTAAGTTCTCTTCTAATAAACTATTAATTTTTCTCCATGTCTGCATTAATTACTTTATTTTAATAAATACTAATTAAACAACTAATTATTCTTTTATGTAAAAGGAAGAAGAAAATACAAAAAGAACCATGATGACTAAATTCAAACCAAAGATTAGACAACACAGATCCTTCATTATTTCTATGTATAGATTGGATCATTTAGATGACATTTACAATATTTAAATACAGTAAACTATGGTTCACTAGGCAAAAATTGTTTGAAGGATTTTAGCAAATGGCTATGTGATGGGCCAAGTTTTAAGAAGTAGCAAGTGAATTCACTAATTACTATTCAATATAAATGTTTAAATTGTTCTCTAACTTTACAATAACTGACAACTCTTTAAGGCCAAACAACATGTAATTGTTTTTTCTTTCTTTTTATTTTTAAGGAAAAATTCGAGTTTTAAAATTGCAGAATAAATATGCCATAAAGAAATAAGTTATTCTGTAGAATTGAATTTAAACTGTGAAACAAGCCCCAAATCAAATTTAAGAACACTGGCAGTAGCGCTTAGGCTACAGAATTTAGGCAATAGGTCACTCAAGATTTTGTGTTCTCAATATTGTGGCTTTAAAAACAGAAGTCTCCAGTAACCGAAGTGCCTGCACTGTGCACTTGTCTGCACGTATTTAGAGGTCAGGATGAACTAACCTTATGTTATTGTACCCCTACTCAATTCTCCTTTACTCTGTTTTCCTTCAGTCCATCTCTACTTGCAGAACCCAGTTTTTGAGAAAGATGATCCACAGCTCAAAACCTTTTCTCATTCCCCTACTCTCTGGATATCCTTAATAGCATACCTTGAGATTTTTCACGGGGTAAGACCAGAGAAATGGAAACAAGATTCAAATATAGCGATTCTCACACATCTGGAGGTCCATATGCGTCAAAGATGACAAAACAAAAATACTCAGGCCAAGCTTGGTCTGTGCGCTGATGTTTCTGGCTAAGGTTGACAATCAAAAACGGTTGTGCTTTGAGGCAGACGATTTTTTTTTTTTAATGTCTGTTTCAATGTAGTCCTTGAATTTCAGTGGTAACAGAGGGTTACCAGCTGGGCCAAGTCTGGCTACACATCCCAGGACTTGCAGTGCGCCTAGAGGGAAGCAGGGATCTGTGGGCTAGAGAGAATTGTTGCCACATCCTCACGGAAGTGAGGCTCCAGCCAACTGCTGCTTCTCCCTGGGATATGGAACTTGACAGGTCCTGATAGCCTGGAGTGGACGTTCTTTATAAGCAGGCTTGAGTCCAGCCCATCTGCACAGAGGAGTTCCTCTGTAAGGGTCCTTCGGAGTCTAGTGAAATTAGTGTTGGCTTTTCTCCAGCCCCTGCTCTCTCTGCCTTTCCTGGCTCACTGCTCCCCCGCCCCTTCCCCCGCCACCACCACCCCGCGTATACGCAGAAGAAGAAAGTTTTACACCGAATGAGCCCCGCGTTGACGTAGGCATCGCCTCTTCTCCCTGCTGGATGGAAGCCCAGAAGGGAGTGAATGGGGGAGATGCGGAGGTCGGCATCTCTTGGATTCCTGTGGTTAGGGTCCCCGGGCGGGGCAGATCAAGGGCTAGCCAAGAGAACCGGTCCTAGACCCACAAATACATCAGGCTTTTCCCTCCTCCGTCAACCTCCTAAATTCCAATGAGGTCATAGCAATGAGAGAGAATCGGATCAAGAGAGAGGGGGAGGAAGAGGACGACGACGAGGGAGAAGAAACCCAGATGGAAAGAGGCCATCAGACAAGGTCGCATTTTCTGGCGACACGGAGACTGCGAGGAGCGTGGTGCTGAATACCATTCGCCGACTCCGCCAGGGGACCTAGAGACTTGCAGAAGCACTTTGCATTACCACGAAAACAAAGGAGAGGAGGCAAGAGGCAGAGGCAGAGAGAAGCTCTGAGCAGTCCCCCTAGGCTCTCCCGGAAGCTAAGCTCATTCTCCTCCGCAAGGAAAGAAAAGAGACCCTGAAAGGTCCTGGAGGCTGAGGAAGGAATAGGGTTTCCCTGCGGAGATTGGGACACGGCAGAACTCTGGACAGCGCCTCTTGAGCACCGCTCTGGCTCCCAGGTCTCCCCCGTCTCAGGCTCTTTGAAAGCCCTGCTACCGCTGTGATCTCTTCTGGACTCTTATCAAGCCCAGGAAGATCTGTCCACGATCCCTGTCTGAGCGTGCCAGTGGGTGGAGCAGCTCTTTGCCTCTGACCGGGCCAGGGAGGAGGGTCTCCAGTTCTGGAAATCCAGTCCTTGTGGATAATGTTTCGCTGCTGAAGAAAGAAAAGTTTTAGGATCTGGTAGGGGGTGGAAGGGGTGAGGAGAATCGTGGAAGAAAGAAGGTGGATGGTTGGTTTTCCTCTGTGATCTGAAAGGAATGATGACCCAGGAAGGATGTGCACCAGCGGCCAGATTATTGGGAGCCTCTTGGTGCTTTCCGTGCTGGAGATAGGGTTGGGGGTATCCAGCGTGGCCGTGGGGGCGGTCAGCTTCAGCCTGGCCCTCCGAGAGCACAAGCCGCAGCTCGGAGACTCGTCCCCGGTATGGAGCGGGGTGTGTGTACGTTGAGCCATTTCACTCTCTCTTTACCTCTTTACGGTGATGGTCAGTGTGCGTGCGTTAGTCACCCCCTCCCCGGGAAACAAAATCATAAATCTCCTCTGGCTTGCATGTAGGTTCGAATCGGCAAACTATGCTTCTTTATGTTGTCCTTTTATTTATTTAGGCTTTTTTTTTCTTTTGCCAAGACCAAATTAAATGGCTTTGTTTAAAGTTGGGGGGGGACTGTGTTCAATTCCACTGGCTGATTCTACAAAAGGGCTGGCCAGTGTTAATGATTTGGGAGTCACATCTGTCAAGGGTAGACTCAGTCTTTTGTTCCTTTTATAAGGAAGAACAAAATGAGAGTGTTACATCATTTTCTTGTGTCAGAAACAAGCAGGGATAGTTATGCATTTATCTCTGGGCAACATTGCCTAGGGTATACAAAAAGTCAACAACAATATGACAATGACAAAAAGAAAGAAACAAAAAAAACAATGTGGTGTGCTTGTGAAAGGAGCATATGAGTGCATTTCATCCCAGAAAACACCACTCTCAATTTTTCTTTGCTATCTTTCTGATACTTTACCTTTGAAAACTCTTTTGTAAGTTGGAGGCAATAAGTTTAGTAAGAATGGTAAGTTTATCAATAATGGTAAGGAATGCAACAGCATTCTAATTAGAGAATAACCCATCTCTCATAGAAAATGTCATAATTTTTCTAGGTAAGGTGGCAGACCCTACAAGCTTCTTGGTTAGTTACTTAGGTGAATCTTAAAGAAAGCTTTAGAGGCCCATTTCTTCCAACAAGAATAAATAAAATAATTTAGCACAATTCTTAGTGTGGACCTAATTGTTTAAAAAAAAAAAAAGAAAAAAGAAAACCTCTCCTTTAAATTATATGGTTGTCAGGACTTCTGAGTCTCCAGCTTGTTCCCACTATTCTATATAATCTATTAAATAAGTATTCTGTCACTGATAATCCATAATGTATTTAACAACCATGGCTTCATTATTTGAGCTTTAAGACACTAGGAGAAAATGACCAGTTAGGAGTCCATGAAAAATCATTCCAAAGTAATTCATTTTTTAAAAATGCTCTGGCATGCTTAAAACTGATAAAATTGTGCTTGGAGTAATTAGTTTTTGTATTTTAATTTTTTCCAGGTGAGATAAATATACTTATATTACAGAACTTGAAAGAAAAATGGTATTGAAATCTCCTAAGGAATACTTGTTCTGAAATCAATAATTAGCTACTATTAACCTACAAATAGCTATCTTGTTCTTAATTATGTAATTTTTGTGAAGGTATATATTAAATTTGAGTTTGAACAGATAAAAGGAACATCTTAAATCTGATAATTCTACATCTTATATGTGGTTATAAATATTTTTGAGAGTTGTGGTTATTGTTGTTATTATATAAACAGAAATAAGACTTTAAAACTTCTATTTTACAGCTGTCAAAGTGTAATGCCAACATGTGGAGAAAGGGGGAGAAAATGCCATCTTTTTATGGCTTAAGAATGATAAGACTCAAATACTCTTCAAGTCATTTCCTACCCCCCCTAAAATTCAAGAAATTGAATGAATAAGCATAAGTGTCTCTAAATATTAACATATCCACTTTATATTCAAAAATTTTAAATGACTACATTAGCTTGGTATCATGTAAAATATAATACTTATATCCATAAAGTCACTATTACAAAGAATTTCTTCCATTTTTAATTTGTTGTTCAGAGTGAGCCAAATTCACCTAGATTCCGGGAACAATAATTTTTAATTATATAGTCTAGTTCAGTAAAATCAAATAATACATTTGACTGAATGAATGTGTTTGAAACTAAAGAGCCCAATACCATTGCTCACTGCCATAAACCCAACTTAGAAAATTCAAATTTGTGAAGAAGTAAATACTCAATTAGGATCTTTATGCTTATCATTTTATTGGCTGGCTATGTAGAGTATTTAAATTATTTGTGGTAAGACATTTGTGAAACAGTCTGAACTACCTCTTAATTCCTTCACCGGTGAATTCATATAACAAGTAAGAATACAGAGTTGAGCGTGTGAAAACCACTTTACTATTTACTACAGAGGGTAGCAAAATGAATCAGAGCATCATCCTCAAAAGGCTACTGCTGGCAAAGAAAACAATATGTGCACATCACTAACTTGGTTAGTGGTAAAAAGTTAGTGTGACCTCAGAGGGGTACAAGGACAAACAGGGAGAGAAAGGTTGGCATGGTCAATGAAATATCCATGGAAGAAATATTATTTTATTCTTGAACTTGAAAATTTATTGAGACATGGAATCAAGTTATCTCAGTGTTTATGTATCACTGTGTAAGGATCTGCAATCAGACTACTTGGTTAAAAAATCTCAGATCTGTCACTTCTAGATGGGTGACGAGGCAAAGTTTCCTCATGTGTAAAACAGGACTGGTACAAGGCACAGATTAAATAATGCTCTAAGTAAAGAGCCTGGTATGCAGTGAGCATTGAGTTAATAGGAACAGCAAACATTGCACACACAAACTTGCAGTATAGGGGGTGAGAAGTGAGATCCTTTCAGGCAGCATGGATGTAGGCAAAGAACAGGGATAGGGAAGGTTGTGTTCCAGGAATTGGCTCTTCATATTTTTCTGGGGTTTAGTTGTGGGAGAGGAAGATAAGGATAGACAGAGAGGGTTTGTGGCCAGATCATAAGAGGCTGTGTGCCCATTTGAGGCAATAGATTTATTCCCTTATACTTTTAATAATATTAACACCAATTCTTAATTCCCAAAGAGATTTGAAGAAGATGCAAAGGGAAACTAGATTTAAAAAACTATTCATCTCTTTGGTAATTTATGAATTAAAAACTGTATCATTTATGAATACCAAATGAGATCTTTCAATAATTAACCTGTCAGAATATACACAGTACAAAGCTGACTATGTTTTGATTGATGTCATGAAGCTTTTTTCAAAACATTAACATCATTATTACAAGGTTTCTGAATTAAATTTAAAGTTAGTGGAAATAAAAGCTACACTATAAAGGATTACTGAAATCATAATCTTTAGTCTAGGACAAGGTTATTAAGGTTTTAGGCAGTTAGTTTGGTTATTTGACCCCAAACGTGAATATTTTTTAAAATGGCTTAAAAATAAAGTAGTATCTAGATAAAGGATCTAAAATAAATGAGAGGGATGCTTACAAAGATAGTTACAGTCACTGTTTCACAATCAGACAAGGTACTTCCTGTGATTAGCCTAAAAAAATGCGGGTAGTTAGAAGGAAAACAAATCATCTAACTATAATTTTATAGATGCCTTTATAGCATTTTTGTTTTTTCTTGATTCTTTGTTATAGTCACTTAAAATGAAACTACAAAGTCAGAAAGTATATCCTTTAAGTGACAGTGAATGGACCATTGAGTTGACTGCTTTGGAAAAGATAAAGTCATAGGATATAGAATTGATATGCAAAATTTGACAAGGAGTTAAGTAGACAGAGTTGTGTTTCCAAGTTGCTGTGCAAAAGTCACCCTTAGTGCATCATCTATAATGCAGATGGATGAGGTTTAGTGATATTCATGGATATCCATGAATCCCAAAGAACTTTATATTGTTGCCTTAGGTTGGCATTTGAAATCCAAAGATTCAGATGTTGATGTCCAGAATAGAGTCTGTTGCTGATTTGTATTTGATATACATCATACTATAATCCCACCCATCTATATCTGATAATCTTCTGTAAATTTTAATTTATTAAAATAATTTTTCTAAACTTAGGTTTCCCACATGTAAACTAAAATTGCAGTCTTTTAAAATATTCAGAAGTTCCCTTATCCAAATCATTTAAAAATTTGAGTGATTTTATTACTTATTTTTTAGGATTATACTTGATTTATATATCATAATTTTCTGCTTAATAAATATGATGTTTTTGTTGGATGAAATTTATAGCATAATCAGTGCAAATATACCTATTCTGTAGACTCCTGGTTCACCATGGCAACGATTCAGCCAAATTGAAGACTTGGTTAAGATGTTCATCTAAACATTCTGATAACATAGCATCACAAATGAGGTACTATATACAAATGATATGTGTTCAAAAATATTATTTTATATTCAGAGCTTTTAATTTAAATTTTAATTAAAACCAAAACATGAAAGAAGGCCCCCAGTTACTTCAAATGCATACAATCTGAAGCTAGCATATCTCTGTCTAGAGAATATGCCACTTTTCTACACTGTCAGAACACATAAAATAGGAGATTCATTCTCTTTATAATGAGATGTAAACACTGCCTGTATCCTCAGGGAAAAAAATTACAAATGTATGTTTATCTCTTATTCTAAAAGTAATTTAAATTTTATAAGTAATTTATGAAGAAGACATTTCAAAACATTTTTATAAAAATAATTAAAACTGGCATGCTCTTCCTTATCAGTTTATCAAAAGCAGTCAAAATTATCTTAAAATCTTCAACATTTCTCCGTGCATAAATAGTTTTCTCTGGGATATGAAACCCAGTGTGTGATCAAGATTTTGGATAGAAGAAAAAAATCATTCATGAATCCTTTGGAGCCCAGGTGAAGAATCTCATGTATGACTCATCCTCTCATTCTCAAATTTAGATAAGTAGAGCAAACCAAACTACTCAGAAATGTAATTATTATTGAAGGGACCATATCATATATCTAAGAAGGCAAAAATACATGTCCATTTCTGGTGTTGACCAATAATGATGTTATGGAAAAGGTAATGGTTTTGTCATTAGCTGATGAAATTTTTTTGTCTAAATTTTAATCACACTAAAATAGTATGTTTTGAAATTTCTATTCAGTTCAAGACAAAATCGACTTTTTAATTATGTCCCTGACTGGGGAACATAGCTTCCCTTGAAATCTTTGCCCTGGGATCTTTAGGGCATAATTGATAATATATATAACAGTCACCTACTTGTTGACGTTTTACTTGATATAATTATGTTTTGAAC